GTGACAAATGTTGAACTTGAGTTTGTGTTTTTTTTTTACTTGAGTTTGTGTGTTTGTTGAACTTGAGGTTGTGGCAATTGTTGAACTTGAGTCTGTGGTTTTTAGTGAACTTTAGTTGGTGGCAATTGTTGAACTTGATTTTTGAGTTAGGAGCGTGTTTGAATTTGAGGTTTTGGCAATTGTTAATCTTTAGATTTGGGTGTTGGTTGAATTTAAAATTTTCACATTTATTGAACTTGAGTTTGTGATGTTCGTTGAACTTGAGTTTTTTTTGTGTGTTTTGAACTTGAGTATGTGTGTTTGTTGAACTTGAGTTTGTGGTGTTTTTTGAACTTGAGGTTGTGGTGTTTTTGAACTTGAGTGTGTTTTTCTTGAACTTGAGTTTTTGGCATGTTTGAATTTGAGGTTGTTGCAATTCTTAAACTTGAGATTTGGGTGTTGGTTGAACTTGAAACTGTGACATTTGTTGAACTTGAGTTTGTGGTGTTTGTTGAACTTGAGTTTGTATCGTGTTTGAAATTGAGTTTGTGGTGTTTTTGAACTTGAGTTTGTGGTGTTTTTGAACTTCATTTTGTGGCACTTTTTTAACTTGAGTTTGTTGAACTTTAGTTTTTGGCAATTGTTAAATGTGAGTTTAGGTCATTTGTTGAACTTGAAATTTTGGAATTTGTTGAACTTAAGATTGTGGTGTTTGTTGAACTTGAGTTTGTGTCGTGTTTGAACTTGAGTTTGTGTTGTATTTGAACTTGAGCTTGTGGAAATTGTTAAACGTGAGAATCGGGTGTTGGTTGAACTTGAGTTTGTGGTGTTCATTGAACTTGAGTTTGTGGAATATTTGAACTTGAGTTTATTATGTTTTTTGAACTTGAGGTTCTGGTGTTTTTGAACTTGAGTTTGTGGAAATTGTTGAACTTGAGGATCGGGTGTTGCTTGAACTTGACTTGTTGTGTTTGTTGAACTTGAGTTTGTGTCATTTTAGAACTTGAGTTTGTGTGGTGTTTTTGAACTTGAGTTTGTGGCGTTTGTCGAACTTGAGTTTGTGGCATGTTTGAACTTGAGTTTGTGGTGTTTTTTGAACTTGAGGTTGTGGAAATTGTTAAACCTGAGAATCGGGTGTTGGTTGAACTTGAGTTTGTTTGTTTTTTGATTTTGAGTTTGTGTCATGTATGAACTTGAGTTTGTGGTGTTTTTTGAATTGAAGTTGTGGCGTGTTTGAACTTGAGTTTGTGTGTTTTTTGAACTTGAGGTTGTGGAAATTGTTAAACTTGAGAATTGGGTGTTGTTTGAACTTCAGTTTGTGGTGTTTTTGAACTTGAGTTTGTGTTGTTTTTGAACTTAAGGTTGTGGAAATTGTTAAACTTGAGAATTGGGTATTGGTTGAACTTGAGTTTGTGTGTTTTTTGAATTTGAGTTTGTGGCGTGTTTGAACTTAAGTTTGTGTTGTTTTTGAACTTGAGGTTGTGGCAATTGTTAAACTTGAGATTTGGGTGTTGGTTGAACTTGAGTTTGTGTCGTTTGAACTTGAGTTTGTGGTGTTTTTGAATTTGAATTTGTGTGTTTTATTATCTTAAGTTTGTGGCAATTTATGAACTTGAGTTTGTTGAACTTGAGTTTGTGGTCTTTGTTCAACTTGAGTTTGTGGATTTTAGTGAACTCTAGTTGGTGGCATCTTTGAACTTGAGTTTGTGGCATATGTTGAACTTGAGTTTGTGATGTGTTTGAACTTGAGTTTGTGGTGTTTTTGAACTTGAGTTTGTGTCGTGTTTGAACTTGAGTTTGTGGCTTGTTTGAACTTGAGTTTCTGTTGTCTTTGAACTTGTGGTTGTGGCAATTGTTAAACTTGAGGTTTGGGTGTTGGTTGATCTTGAGTTTGTGTCTTGTTTGAACTTTTGTTTTTGGATTTTTTGAACTAGAGTTTGTGTGTTTTTTTAACTTAAGTTTTGTGGCAACTTATGAACTTGAGTATATTGAAATGAAGTTTGTGACAAATGTTGAACTTGAGTTTGTGTTTTTTTTTTACTTGAGTTTGTGTGTTTGTTGAACTTGAGGTTGTGGCAATTGTTGAACTTGAGTCTGTGGTTTTTAGTGAACTTTAGTTGGTGGCAATTGTTGAACTTGATTTTTGAGTTAGGAGCGTGTTTGAATTTGAGGTTTTGGCAATTGTTAATCTTTAGATTTGGGTGTTGGTTGAATTTAAAATTTTCACATTTATTGAACTTGAGTTTGTGATGTTCGTTGAACTTGAGTTTTTTGTGTGTTTTGAACTTGAGTATGTGTGTTTGTTGAACTTGAGTTTGTGGTGTTTTTTGAACTTGAGGTTGTGGTGTTTTTGAACTTGAGTGTGTTTTTCTTGAACTTGAGTTTTTGGCATGTTTGAATTTGAGGTTGTTGCAATTCTTAAACTTGAGATTTGGGTGTTGGTTGAACTTGAAACTGTGACATTTGTTGAACTTGAGTTTGTGGTGTTTGTTGAACTTGAGTTTGTATCGTGTTTGAAATTGAGTTTGTGGTGTTTTTGAACTTGAGTTTGTGGTGTTTTTGAACTTCATTTTGTGGCACTTTTTTAACTTGAGTTTGTTGAACTTTAGTTTTTGGCAATTGTTAAATGTGAGTTTAGGTCATTTGTTGAACTTGAAATTTTGGAATTTGTTGAACTTAAGATTGTGGTGTTTGTTGAACTTGAGTTTGTGTCGTGTTTGAACTTGAGTTTGTGTTGTATTTGAACTTGAGCTTGTGGAAATTGTTAAACGTGAGAATTGGGTATTGGTTAAACTTGAGTTTTTGGTGTTTTTGAATTTGAGTTTCTGTTGTTTTTGAACATGAGGTTGTGGCAATTGTTAAACTTGAGATTTGGGTGTTGGTTGAAATTAAGTTTCGGCATTTTTGAACTTGAGTTTGTGGTGTTTTTGAACTTGAATTTGTGTGTTTTTGAACCTGAGTTTGTTGCAATTTTTGAACTTGAGTTTGTGGTGTTTTTGAACTTGAATTTGTGTGTTTTTGAACCTGAGTTTGTTGCAATTTTTGAACTTGAGTTGGTTGAACTTGAGTTTTTGGCAATTGTTTAATGTGAGTATAGGTCATTTGTTGAATTTGAAATTTTGGCATTTTTTGAACTTAAGCTTGTGGTGTTTGATGAACTTGAGTTTGTGGCAATTGTTAACCTTGAGTCTGTATTTTTTTCTGAACTTTAGTTGGTGGCAATTGTTGAACTTGAGTTTGTGGCGTTTGTTGTACTTGAGTTTGTGGCGTGTTTGAACTTGAGTTTCTGTTGGTTTTGATCTTGAGGTTGTGGAAATTGTGAAACTTGAGATTTGGGATTTGGTTGAACTTGAGTTTGTGAATCGTGTTTGAACTTGAGTTTGTGGTGTTTTTGATCTTGAGCTTTTGTGTTTTTTGAACTGAAGTTTGTGGCAATTGTTAAACTTGTGACTTGGGTGTTGGTTGAACTTGAGTTTGTGGTGTTTTTGAACTTGAGTCTGTGAAGTGTTTGAACTACATTTTCTGGTTATTTTTGAACTTGAGTCTGTGTGTTTTTCTAACTTGAGTTTGTGGTGTGTCTGAATTTGAGTTTTTGTTTTTTATAACTTGAGGTTGTGGAAATTGTTAAACTTGCGAAGTGGGCATTGGTTGAACTTGAGTTCATGTGTTTGTTGAACTTGAGTTTTTGTCGTTTAGAAATTGAGTTTGTGGTGTTTTTGAACTTGAGTTTTTGGCGTTTGTTGAAATTAAGTTTTTGTCGTTTTGAACTTGAGTTTGTGGTGTTTTTGAACTTGAGGTTTTGGCAAATGTTAAACTTGATATTTGGGTGTTGTTTGAACTTGAGTTTGTGTCGTGTTTGAACTTGAGTTTGTGTCGTGTTTGAACTTGAGGTTGTGGAAATTGTTATACGTGAGAATTTGGTATTGGTTAAACTTGAGTTTGTGTGTTTGTTGAACCTGAGTTTGTGTCGTGTTTGAACTTGAGATTGTGCTGTTTTGTGATCTTGAGTTTGTGGTGTTTTTTAACTTGAGTTTTTGGTGTTTTTGAATTTGAGTTTCTGTTGTTTTTGAACATGAGGTTGTGGCAATTGTTAAACTTGAGATTTGGGTGTTGGTTGAAATTAAGTTTCGGCATTTTTGAACTTGAGTTTGTGGTGTTTTTGAACTTGAATTTGTGTGTTTTTGAACCTGAGTTTGTTGCAATTTTTGAACTTGAGTTGGTTGAACTTGAGTTTTTGGCAATTGTTTAATGTGAGTATAGGTCATTTGTTGAATTTGAAATTTTGGCATTTTTTGAACTTAAGCTTGTGGTGTTTGATGAACTTGAGTTTGTGGCAATTGTTAACCTTGAGTCTGTATTTTTTTCTGAACTTTAGTTGGTGGCAATTGTTGAACTTGAGTTTGTGGCGTTTGTTGTACTTGAGTTTGTGGCGTGTTTGAACTTGAGTTTCTGTTGGTTTTGATCTTGAGGTTGTGGAAATTGTGAAACTTGAGATTTGGGATTTGGTTGAACTTGAGTTTGTGAATCATGTTTGAACTTGAGTTTGTGGTGTTTTTGATCTTGAGCTTTTGTGTTTTTTGAACTGAAGTTTGTGGCAATTGTTAAACTTGTGACTTGGGTGTTGGTTGAACTTGAGTTTGTGGTGTTTTTGAACTTGAGTCTGTGAAGTGTTTGAACTACATTTTCTGGTTATTTTTGAACTTGAGTCTGTGTGTTTTTCTAACTTGAGTTTGTGGTGTGTCTGAACTTGAGTTTTTGTTTTTTTTAACTTGAGGTTGTGGAAATTGTTAAACTTGCGAAGTGGGCATTGGTTGAACTTGAGTTCATGTGTTTGTTGAACTTGAGTTTTTGTCGTTTAGAAATTGAGTTTGTGGTGTTTTTGAACTTGAGGTTTTGGCAAATGTTAAACTTGATATTTGGGTGTTGTTTGAACTTGAGTTTGTGTCGTGTTTGAACTTGAGTTTGTGTCGTGTTTGAACTTGAGGTTGTGGAAATTGTTATACGTGAGAATTTGGTATTGGTTAAACTTGAGTTTGTGTGTTTGTTGAACCTGAGTTTGTGTCGTGTTTGAACTTGAGATTGTGCTGTTTTGTGATCTTGAGTTTGTGGTGTTTTTTAACTTGAGTTTTTGGTGTTTTTGAATTTGAGTTTCTGTTGTTTTTGAACATGAGGTTGTGGCAATTGTTAAACTTGAGATTTGGGTGTTGGTTGAAATTAAGTTTCGGCATTTTTGAACTTGAGTTTGTGGTGTTTTTGAACTTGAATTTGTGTGTTTTTGAACCTGAGTTTTTTTGCAATTTTTGAACTTGAGTTGGTTGAACTTGAGTTTTTGGCAATTGTTTAATGTGAGTATAGGTCATTTGTTGAATTTGAAATTTTGGCATTTTTTGAACTTAAGCTTGTGGTGTTTGATGAACTTGAGTTTGTGGCAATTGTTAACCTTGAGTCTGTATTTTTTTCTGAACTTTAGTTGGTGGCAATTGTTGAACTTGAGTTTGTGGCGTTTGTTGTACTTGAGTTTGTGGCGTGTTTGAACTTGAGTTTCTGTTGGTTTTGATCTTGAGGTTGTGGAAATTGTGAAACTTGAGATTTGGGATTTGGTTGAACTTGAGTTTGTGAATCATGTTTGAACTTGAGTTTGTGGTGTTTTTGATCTTGAGCTTTTGTGTTTTTTGAACTGAAGTTTGTGGCAATTGTTAAACTTGTGACTTGGGTGTTGGTTGAACTTGAGTTTGTGGTGTTTTTGAACTTGAGTCTGTGAAGTGTTTGAACTACATTTTCTGGTTATTTTTGAACTTGAGTCTGTGTGTTTTTCTAACTTGAGTTTGTGGTGTGTCTGAACTTGAGTTTTTGTTTTTTTAACTTGAGGTTTTGGAAATTGTTAAACTTGCGAAGTGGGCATTGGTTGAACTTGAGTTCATGTGTTTGATGAACTTGAGTTTTTGTCGTTTAGAAATTGAGTTTGTGGTGTTTTTGAACTTGAGTTTTTAGCGTTTGTTGAAATTAAGTTTTTGTCGTTTTGAACTTGAGTTTGTGGTGTTTTTGAACTTGAGGTTTTGGCAAATGTTCAACTTGATATTTGGGTGTTGTTTGAACTTGAGTTTGTGTCGTGTTTGAACTTGAGTTTGTGTCGTGTTTGAACTTGAGTTTGTTGCAATTTTTGAACTTGAGTTTTGAACTTGAGTCTTTATTTGGTGGCAATTGTTAAACTTGAGTTTGTCGCGTGTTTGAACTTGAGTTTGTGTTGTTTTTGAACTTGAGGTTGTGGCAATTGTTAAACTTAAGATTTGGGTGTTGGTTGAACTTGAGATTGTGGCCTTTGGCAAACTTGAGTGTGTGGCGTTTGTTGAACTTGAGTTTGTGGTGTTAATTTAAATTGAGTTTGGGTCTTGTTTGAACTTGACTTTTTGGTGTTTTTGAACTTGATTTTGTGTGTTTTTTGAACTTGAGTTTTTGGTGTTTTTGAACTTGAGTTTGTGTGTTTTTTGAACTTAAGTTTGTGGCAATTGTTAAACTTGAGATTTGTGTGTTGGTTGAACTTGAGTTTGTTTGTTTTTGAACTTGAGTTTGTGTGTTTGTTTAACTTGACTTTGTGTGTTTTTTTAACTTGAGTTTGTGTGTTTTTTTGAACTTGAGTTTGTGGTGTTTTTGAACTTGAGTTTGTGTGTTTTTTGAACTTAAGTTTGTGGCAATTGTTAAACTTGAGTTTGTGTGTTTTTTTAACTTGAGTTTGTGGTGTTTTTTAACTTTAGGTTGTGTTTTTTGAATTTGAGTTTGTGGCAATTGTTAAACTTGAGATTTGGGTGTTGGTTGAACTTGAGTTTGTAGTGTTTTTGAACTTGAGTTCGTGTGTTTGTTGAACTTGAATTTGTGGCGTGTTTTGACTTGAGTTTCTTTTGTTTTTGAACTTGAGGTTGTGGCAATTGTCAAACTTGAGATTTGGGATTTGGTTGAACTTGAGTTTGTGTCGTGTTTGAACTTGAGTTTGTGGTGTTTTTTAACTTGAGTTTGTGGCGGTGTTGAACTTGAGTTTGTTGCGTGTTTTAACCTGAATATTTGTTGTTTTTCTAACTTGAGGCTTTAGCAATTGTCAAACTTTAGATTTGGGTGTTGGTTGAACTTAAAACTTTGACATTTGTTGAACTTGTGTATGTGGTGTTCATTAAACTTTTTGTGTCTTGTTTGAACTTGACTTTGTGGTGTTTTTGAACTTGAGTTGGTGGTGTTTTTGAATTTGAGTTTGTGGAAATTGTTGAACTTGAGAATTGGGTTTTGGTTGAACTTGGGTTTTTGGTGTTTTTGAACTTGAGTTTGAGTTTGTTTGTTTGTTGAACTTGAGTTTGTGGCGTGTTTGAACTTGACTTTGTGTTGTTTTTGAACTTGAGGTTGTGGAAATTGTTAAACTCGCCCTCCTCGAGCCATCATGAAGGCGGAGCTGGCGGGGGTAGAGCAGCAATGAACAGAACCCCCCCGGAACAGGAGCGCTTCAAGGGTAGCGGAGCAATTAGCTGGCACGAGGGTGGAGCTGGTGTGGCAGTGTGTTGCTGGTTTGCTGTCAGAGCAGAGGAAGAGGCTGGGTTAGTGCAGTTTTAAATAAGGCACTCTATAGGCAAAGAACCAATAGGAGCTAGGTGTGAATCAGCTGATTATCATCTGGTTGCGGTGGCTACTAGCCATTGGCTGTGGATCAGCGCTTGACGTTGTGTCCTGACAGAACTAACGCTATGCTTCATTTCAGTCAGGTACACTTTGTCAAAATTTTTAGCTTTATTGTGCAAGTTAGATTTGGCGGCATGATTCTGTTCTGGGTCCCTTCCCTTCCACGCGCTTGTGTGGAAGCCCAAGGCAGGAAGAGCCTCTTCCTGCCCTTCACGAGCCATCATGAAAGGCGATAGCAGGGAGCGCACGCAAGGTTCTGTTCAGGGCCCCCGTTCTCCACGTTGGCAGGGGTGAAAGGCCAGCGGCAGGAAGAGCACCTTCCCGCCCTCCACGTGCCATCATGAAGGCGGAGGAGGCGGGGGTAGAGCAGCAATGAACAGAACCCCCCCAAAACAACCATGCCGTGCAGTCTAGGAGCTAGCAGGGGAGGTGAGCGCTGCTGAAAGAAAGACCGGTTAGAGAGACCCGTTGCCCAAGCATGGATATTTATCTGCAGGGTGTTTATACATTTCATTTAATTAGCATCTATGTGCCAAAGTTATGGGTACTCATAGTTTTTGGGCTTCGAGAATGTCCCGAGCCTCGGGGCGCAGATAGCGTTTGTACGCAGCTGACGACTATTGGCCCATGGCTTTGAGGGTCGACACAGGAGCCGTCATAGCTGCGGTTGTAGCTGCACCTATGTGAAAGGAATGAGCCGTGTAGCGATCTGAAGGATGTGTGGAGGGCGATCAGCTAAGCTGTCATCTGACTGAGGGCTAGCTTAAGATCAGCTGGCTTGTGTCCTGCCTGAACTACAGCCATGCTTAATTTCAGTCAGGACTACTTTAGTTAGAATCAATTATTTATTACTAGCAAAATTTTTTTTAACATTGTCGGTATAGCTCTGTTCTGAGAGTTCCCTGCTCTCTCATGCGCTTACATAGAATCCCAAGGCACTGAGAGGGAATGCCCTCCCCTCCCTTTCATGTGCATATATGAAAAGCCAAGGCAGAAAAAGCAGCAGCCATACTGGCAACCCTCCCCAGCTTTCATGAGCTACATGAAGGCAGCTACGGGGGAGGGAGGGCAGCCAGCAGCGAGAAACTGTGAAGCAACCTACCCACCTACAAAGCTTGCATAGTATTGGTTACCCTCACAACATGATCATGGATCAGGATTAATTTAATCCATACACAAATTTATAGTTGGGAATATGCGTAATGCAATAGATATGGGAAAGAATTAAGGAGCAGCAGCAATTTTTTTTTTTTTTTTGTAGCTAATCGAGCATAGGAATATTCTAATAATAATAATAAATTAGCCTTGGGCCTGAGGTATCATTCAAAGGCTGATCGGGACCATCGACCCGTAGCCTTGAGCGTCGAGACGGGGACGATGGAAGATGCAGTTGTAGCTGTGCCTATGCGTGGTGAATGCGTAGAGTTGTACTCAGGTAGGAGCCAGCAGGATTGGCAGAGCAGGCAGAGGTGAGCAGAAACCTGCAATCTGGATATAGGTTTCCCTTCTTCAGTGGCAAAGAGAGACTCTTGCTGGCTGGCCAGTGGCCGGCCTCTCAGGCAGCGGGACATGGAGGATAAAGAACAAAGACAGAGTTAGTTTTGGAAATATTAGAAAAAAAAAAAAAGTGCGAGATTCAAAACCGTGGACTATTAAAGCACATACAATGGATATATTTAGGGCGTTGGGGCTACAGAGAAGGTGGTACAAAAGAGGTAAAGTGAGACCATGCAGAATCGTATAAACTTTAATGCTGATTTTGCTTAACCAGCTCTCAAGTAGCTGTCAACAGAGAGCACTAAGGATAGCAAGGCTGCACTCACACTAACGCAGTCTGAATGAATGGCTTCACGAACAGCCGTTGGGATGCTTTGCCAGTGCCTTCCCCAGCTCAAGGACATTTGACAGAGTAGACAGCTTTGTTCTTTCCCGTTTTACCAGGTGGGTGCGTCATGGGCATGCTGATTTCAGATGCCCGTCCCTGGAGTAACTTGGCTTCTCCGAGTAGTAGGCTTAGAGAGGCTTGGGTGGTTGACCTGTAGCCACAGTTTTAGGGCACCAATTAGAGGTGTGGGCAGGGGTGGACAAGGTAGGATAAGGTTCCTCCAGGTACTGTACCCGTAGACTTTGTACAAGAGGAGCACACCCAAGTTAAGCGAGTTGCTGACTCCGATGCCACAGTATCATCATCTGCTGTATCTCTCTCTTAAACAAAAAATTATTATTATTATTATTATTATTATTATTATTTTCCTCTGCATTTTGTCTTATTTCTGCATTAAGATTGAAGCAGCTGACTCTTTAAAAGTTCCCTCCTTCCGCAAAAGGCGGAAGGCGGGCCCCTGCACCTAGGCAGCCAGCGTCCAATCAAAAGTGCGCACTGGTGCTCCCACTTGGAGTTTATTTGTAAGCAAATACCACTCACTCTCAAGCGGCATGGTCCTATTGGATTACTTCGGTTATAACGCAGAGTGCAGACTGATGTGCAGCAACAGACTAAGCCTAGATACATGACAGGGGTGAAAACTTTAAACAGCTGATTATGTCTTCCCAAAATTGCGTACTGCTGCGTAATGGCTTACTTTCACCTCCAGGTGAGAGAAAGACCCGCAGATTAAGCAGGAAAAAGCTTGATGCTCGGTGAATTGTTAACTGATTAGAGCCAGGTCGACTACGGACTGATCAAGTCTTTGGCTGAATCTTTGAATGTACTTAGCAGCTTTGCTGAAAATGATTTGTAATGTTCCTAGAATAATGATCCTCCCTATGTCATGGCTGAATCAGAAATAATGGCGAGATATGTGTCCAGTTCAGTTCTGCGTGCTGAAAACACTTTACATATGACATCTACAAATACGCCGAAAGCTATGAATTCAGCCAAGGTCGGAGATTTAAACAGCCGGGCATCACGATATTTAAGCATCACAGGCTCATCTCCGCAATCCACAATGCGTCTATCATTGTAGTCTGAGCACAGCAAGACTAATGTCAGTACCTGCAAGGATTTGGCTCCGCGGATTAGGTGTAATTGCAGCCGCGACCAGGTCGCGTCGCGTGATGCTCTGGTGTGTTCACACCGGGTCCAAAGCTGCGGTCGCAGGACGCGGCTGGTTGCTGCTGACCCGCTTCTCCTACCTTCCTTCTCCCTCCTTTTCTCCCTCATATATACATCCCGCAGCCCAGTTCAAATATTTGAACTTTGGGAGCGACGAGACTTGGCGTCCTGCGACCTCGGCGACGCAACCTCGGCAACGCGACGCAGGTAGCCGGCAGTCGCCAAGTCACGTCAGGTCGCGGCTGTCCATAGACTTTGCATTGGGAGCAGTCGCCGACATCGCCCAAGTCGAGTTTGGTCTGAACACCCCTTAAAGCTATGCTTCATATTTGGGTATTGGTTGAACTTGAGTTTCTGTGTTTGTTGAACTTGAGTTTGTGACATGTTTGAACTTGAATTTGTGGTGTTTTTGAACTTGAGGTTTTGGCAAATGTTAAACTTGAGATTTGGGTGTTGGTTGATCTTGAGTTTGTGTCATATTTGAAATTGATTTTTTTGCAATTTTTGAACTTGAGTTTGTTGAACTTGAGGTTGTGGAAATTGTAAAACTTGAGAATTGGGTATTGATTGAACTTGAGTTTGTGTGTTTGTTGAACTTGAGTTTGTCTCGTATTTGAACTTGAGTTTCTGTTGTTTTTGAACTTGAGGTTGTGGCAATTGTTAAACTTGAGATTTGGGTGTTGGTTGAACTTGAGTTTGTGTCCTGTTTGAACTTGAGTTTGTGGTGTTTTTGAACTTGAGTTTGTGTGTTTTTTTAACAGGTTTGTGGCAATTGTTAAATTTGAGATTTGGGTGTTGGTTGAACTTGGGTTTGTGGTGTTTTTGAACTTGAGTTTGTGTCTTTGTTGAACTTGAGTTTGTGGCGTGTTTTAACTTGAGTTTCTGTTGTTTTTGAACTTGAGGTTGTGGAAATTGTTGAACTTGAGATTTGGGATTTGGTTGAACTTGAGTTTGTTTCATGTTTGAACTTCAGTTTGGGGTGTTTTTGAACTTGAGCTTGTGTGTTTTTTGCACTTGAGTTTGTGTTGTTAAGAACTTGAGTTTGTGGTGTTTTTGAACTTGAGTTTGTGTGTTTGTTGAACTTGAGGTTGTGGCAATTGTTAAACTTGATATTTGGGTGTTTGTTGAACTTCAAACTTTGAAATTTGTTGAACTTGAGTTTGTGGTGTTCGTTGAACTTCAGTTTCGGCATTTTTTGAACTTGAGTTTGTGTGTTTTTGAACTTTAGTTGGTGGCAATTTTTGAAATTGAGTTTGTTGAACTTGAGTTTTTGGCAATTGTTAAATGTGAGTTTAGGTCATTTGTTGAACTTGAGATTGTGGTGTTTGTTGAACTTGAGTTTGTGGCAATTGTTGAACTTGAGTCTGTATTTTTCACTGAACTTTAGTTTGTAGTGTTTGTTGTACTTGAGTTTGTGGCGTTTGTTGTACTTGAGTTTGTGTCTTGTTTGAACTTGAGTTGTGGTGTTTTTGAACTTGAGTTGGGGGTGCTTTTGAACTTAAGGTTGTGGCAATTGTTGAACTTGAGGATTGTGTGTTTGTTGAACTTGAGTTTGTCTCGTGTTTGAACTTGAGTTTCTGTTGTATTTGAACTTGAGGTTGTGGAAATTGTTAAACTTGAGATTTGGGTGTTGGTTGAACTTGAGTTTATGTCGTGTTTGAACTTGAGTTTTTGGTGTTTTTGAACTTGAGTTTGTGTCATGTTTGAACTTGAGTTTGTGGTGTGTTTGAACTTGAGTTTGTGTGTTTTTTGAACTTGAGGTTGTGGCAATTGTTAAACTTGAGATTTGGGTGTTGGTTGAACTTGAGTTTGTGTCATGTTTGATCTTGAGTTCTTGTTGTTTGTTGAACAAGAGTTTGTGTGTTTTTTGAACTTGAGGTTGTGAACATTTTTAAACTTGAGAATCAGGTGTTGGTTGAACTTGAGTTTGTGGTTTTTGTTGAACTTGAGTTTGTGTACAACTTGAGTTGTAGTGTTTTTGAACTTGAGTCTGTGTTGTATTTGAACTGGAGGTTTTGGAAATTGTTAAACTTGAGATTTGGATGTTGGCTGAACTTGAGTTTGTGTGTTTGTCGAACTTGAGTTTGTGTCGAGTTTGAACTTGAGTTTGTGGTGTTTTTGAACTTTAATTTGCGTGTTTGTTGAACTTGAGTTTGTGTGTTTTTTGAACTTGAGTTTCTGTTGTTTTTGAACTTGAGGTTGGGGAAATTGTAAAACCTGAGAATCAGGTGTTTTTGGTTGAACTTGAGTTTGTGTGTTTGTTGAACTTGAGTTTGTGTCATGTTTGAACTTGAGTTTGTTGTGTGTTTGAACTTGAGTTGGTTTGTTTGATGAACTGTAGGTTGTGGCAACTGTTAAACTTGAGATTTGAGTGTTGGTTCAACTTGAGTTTGTGTCGTGTTTGAACTTGAGTTCGTGTTGTTTGTTGAACTTGAGTTTGTGTGTTTTTTGAAATTGAGTTTGTGGTGTATTTGAACTTGAGTTTGTGTGTATGATGAACTTGAGTTTGTGTGTTTGTTGAACTTGAGATTGTGTGTTTGTTGAACTTGAGTTTGTGTCGTGTTTGATCTTGAGTTCTTGTTGTTTGTGGAACTTGAGTTTGTGTGTTTTTTGAACTTTAGGTTGTGAAAATTTTTAAACTTGAGAATCAGGTGTTGGTTGAACTTGAGTTTGTGGGGTTTTTTTTACTTGAGTTTGTGTACAACTTGAGTTGTAGTGTTTTTGAACTTGAGTCTGTTTTGTATTTGAACTGGAGGTTGTGGAAATTGTTAAACTTGAGATTTGTGTGTTTGTTGAACTTGAGTTTGTGTGTTCGTTGAACTTGAGTTTGTGTCGTGTTTGAACTTGAGTTTGTGGTGTTTTTGAACTTGAATTTGCGTGTTTGTTGAACTTGAGTTCGTGTGTTTTTTGAACTTGAGTTTCTGTTGTTTTTGAACTTGAGGTTGGGGAAATTGAAAAACCTGAGAATCAGGTGTTTTTGGTTGAACTTGAGTTTGTGTGTTTGTTGAACTTGAGTTTGTGTCATGTTTGAACTTGAGTTTGTTGTGTGTTTGAACTTGAGTTGGTTTGTTTGATGAACTGTAGGTTGTGGCAATTGTTAAAATTGAGATTTGAGTGTTGGTTCAACTTGAGTTTGTGTCGTGTTTGAACTTGAGTTCGTGTTGTTTTTGAACTTGAATCTGTTTGTGTGTTTTTTGAAATTGAGTTTGTGGTGTATTTGAACTTGAGTTTGTGTGTTTGATGAACTTGAGATTGTGTGTTTGTTGAACTTGAGTTTGTGTCGCGTTTGATCTTGAGTTCTTGTTGTTTGTTGAACTTGAGTTTGTGTGTTTTTTGAACTTGAGGTTGTGAAAATTTTTAAACTTGAGAATCAGGTGTTGGTTGAACTTGAGTTTGTGGTTTTTTTTTTAACTTGAGTTTGTGTACAACTTGAGTTGTAGTGTTTTTGAACTTGAGTCTGTGTTGTATTTGAACTGGAGGTTGTGGAAATTGTTAAACTTGAGATTTGTGTGTTTGTTGAACTTGAGTTTGTGTGTTTGTTGAACTTGAGTTTGTGTCGTGTTTGAACTTGAGTTTGTGGTGTTTTTGAACTTGAATTTGCATGTTTGTTGAACTTGAGTTTGTGTGTTTGTTAGCTTGAGTTTGTGTCGTGTTTGAACTTGAGTTTGTGTTGTTTTTTGAACTTGAGTTTTTTATTAGTGCTTGATCTTGAGTTTGTGGCTTTTGTTGAACTTGAGTTTGTGTTGTGTTTGAACTTGAGTTTGTGTTTTTGTTTAACTTTTGGTTGTGGTGTTTTTGAACTTGAGGGTGTGTAATTTGTTGAACTTGAGGTTGTGGCAATTGTTGAACTTGAGTTCGTGTGTTTGTTGAACTTGAGTTTGTGTCGTGTTTGAACTTGAGTTTATGTGTTTGTTGAACTTGAGGTTGTGGCAATTGTTTAACTTGAGATTTGGGTGTTGGTTGAACTTGAGTTTTTTCTGTTTTTGAACTTGAGTTTTTGGTGTTTTTGAACTTGAGTTAGTGTGTTTGTTGAACTGAATGTTTTTGAACTTGAGTTTGTGGTGTTTATGAACCTGAGTTTGTTTCGTGTTTGAACTTGAGTTTGTGGTGTTTTTAAACTTGACTTTGTGTGTTTGTTAAACTTGAGTTTGTGTTGTGTTCGAACTTGAGTTTGTGGTGTTTTTGAACTTGAGTTTGTTTCGTTTTTGAACTTGAGTTTGTGGTGTTTTTGAACTTGAGATTTGGGTGTTAGTTGAACTTGAGTTTGTGTCGTGTTTGAACTTGAGTTTGTGGTGTTTTTTGAACTTGAGTTTGTTTGTTTTTTGTACTTAGGTTTGTTGAACTTGAGTTTGTGGCAATTGTTGAACTTGCGTCTGTGGTTTTTAGTGAACTTTAATTTGTGGCAATTGTTTAACTTGAGTTTGTGGCGTTTGTTGAACATGAGTTTGTGTCGTGTTTGAACTTGAGTTTGTGGTGGTTTTGAACTTGAGTTTGTGGTGTGTTTGAACTTGAGTTTGGTTGAACTTGAGTTTGTTTCGTGTTTGAACTTGAGATTGTGTTGTTTGTTGAACTTGAGTTTGTGTGTTTTTTGAACTTAAGTTTGTTGAACTTGAGTTTGTGGCAATTGTTGAACTTGCGTCTGTGGTTTTTTGTGATTTTTAATTTGTGTCAATTGTTGAACTTGAGTTTGTGTTGTTTTTGAACTTGAGCTTGTTTCGTGTTTGAACTTGAGTTTGTGGATATTATTAAACTTGAGATTTGGGTGTTGGTTGAACTTGAGTTTGTGTCGTGTTTGAACTTGAGTTTGTTGTATTTTTGAACTTGAGTTTGTGTGTTTCTTGAACTTAAGTTTGTTGAACTTGAGTTTGTGGCAATTGTTGAACTTGCGTCTGCGGTTTTTAGTGAACTTTAGTTTGTGGCAATTGTTGAACTTGAGTTTGTGGCGTTTGTTGAACTTGAGTTTTTGGCATTTGTTGAACTTGAGTTTGTGTGTTTGTTGAACTTGAGGTTGTGGCAATTGTTAAACTTGAGATTTGGGTGTTGGTTGAACTTGAGTTTGTGTCGTGTTTGAACTTGAGTTTGTTGTATTTTTGAACTTGAGTTTGTGTGTTTCTTGAACTTAAGTTTGTTGAACTTGAGTTTGTGGCAATTGTTGAACTTGCGTCTGTGGTTTTTTGTGATTTTTAATTTGTGTCAATTGTTGAACTTGAGTTTGTGTTGTTTTTGAACTTGAGTTTGTGGTGTTTTTGAACTTGAGTTTTTTTTCGTGTTTGAACTTGAGTTTGTGGATATTATTAAACTTGAGATTTGGGTGTTGGTTGAACTTGAGATTTGGGTGTTGGTTGAAGTTGAGGTTGTTGTTTTTTTGATCTTGGGTTTGTGTGTTTTTTGAACTTAAAATTGTTGAACTTGAGTTTGTGGCAATTGTTGAACTTGCGTCTGTGGTTTTTAGTGAACTTTAATTTGTGGCAATTGTTGAACTTGAGTTTGTGGCGTTTGTTGAACTTGAGTTTGTGTCGTGTTTGAACTTGAGTTTGTGGTGTTTGTTGAACTTGAGTCTGTGGTTTTTAGTGAACTTTACTTGATGGCAATTGTTGAACTTGAGTTTGTGGGGTTTGTTGAACTTGAGTTTGTGTCATGTTTGAACTTGAGTTTCTGGTGTTTTTGAACTTGAGTCTGTGTTGTTTTTGAATATGAGGTTGTGGAAATTGTTAAACTTGAGAATTGGGCGTTGGTTGAACTTGAGTTTGTGTTGTGTTTGAACTTGAGTTTGTGTCGTGTTTGAACTTGAGTTTGTGGTGTTTTTGAACTTGAATTTGTGGTGTTTTTGAACTTGAGGGTGTGGAATTTTTCAAACTTAATAATTGGGTATTGGTTACACTTGAGTTTCTGTGTTTGTTAAACTTGAGTTTGTGTCGTGTTTGAACTTGAGTTTGTTTTTTGGTTGAAATTGAGTTTGTTTGTTGGTTGAAATTGAGTTTGTGGTGTTTTTGAACTTGAGGGTGTGAAATTTGTTAAACTTAATAATTGTGTATTGGTTGAACTTGAGTTTCTGTGTTTGTTGAACTGAATGTTTTTGAACTTGAGTTTGTGGTGTTTATGAACCTGAGTTTGTTTCGTGTTTGAACTTGAGTTTGTGGTGTTTTTAAACTTGACTTTGTGTGTTTGTTAAACTTGAGTTTGTGTTGTGTTCGAACTTGAGTTTGTGGTGTTTTTGAACTTGAGTTTGTTTCGTTTTTGAACTTGAGTTTGTGGTGTTTTTGAACTTGAGATTTGGGTGTTAGTTGAACTTGAGTTTGTGTCGTGTTTGAACTTGAGTTTGTGGTGTTTTTTGAACTTGAGTTTGTTTGTTTTTTGTACTTAGGTTTGTTGAACTTGAGTTTGTGGCAATTGTTGAACTTGCGTCTGTGGTTTTTAGTGAACTTTAATTTGTGGCAATTGTTTAACTTGAGTTTGTGGCGTTTGTTGAACATGAGTTTGTGTCGTGTTTGAACTTGAGTTTGTGGTGGTTTTGAACTTGAGTTTGTGGTGTGTTTGAACTTGAGTTTGGTTGAACTTGAGTTTGTTTCGTGTTTGAACTTGAGATTGTGTTGTTTGTTGAACTTGAGTTTGTGTGTTTTTTGAACTTAAGTTTGTTGAACTTGAGTTTGTGGCAATTGTTGAACTTGCGTCTGTGGTTTTTTGTGATTTTTAATTTGTGTCAATTGTTGAACTTGAGTTTGTGTTGTTTTTGAACTTGAGCTTGTTTCGTGTTTGAACTTGAGTTTGTGGATATTATTAAACTTGAGATTTGGGTGTTGGTTGAACTTGAGTTTGTGTCGTGTTTGAACTTGAGTTTGTTGTATTTTTGAACTTGAGTTTGTGTGTTTCTTGAACTTAAGTTTGTTGAACTTGAGTTTGTGGCAATTGTTGAACTTGCGTCTGCGGTTTTTAGTGAACTTTAGTTTGTGGCAATTGTTGAACTTGAGTTTGTGGCGTTTGTTGAACTTGAGTTTTTGGCATTTGTTGAACTTGAGTTTGTGTGTTTGTTGAACTTGAGGTTGTGGCAATTGTTAAACTTGAGATTTGGGTGTTGGTTGAACTTGAGTTTGTGTCGTGTTTGAACTTGAGTTTGTTGTATTTTTGAACTTGAGTTTGTGTGTTTCTTGAACTTAAGTTTGTTGAACTTGAGTTTGTGGCAATTGTTGAACTTGCGTCTGTGGTTTTTTGTGATTTTTAATTTGTGTCAATTGTTGAACTTGAGTTTGTGTTGTTTTTGAACTTGAGTTTGTGGTGTTTTTGAACTTGAGTTTTTTTTCGTGTTTGAACTTGAGTTTGTGGATATTATTAAACTTGAGATTTGGGTGTTGGTTGAACTTGAGATTTGGGTGTTGGTTGAAGTTGAGGTTGTTGTTTTTTTGATCTTGGGTTTGTGTGTTTTTTGAACTTAAAATTGTTGAACTTGAGTTTGTGGCAATTGTTGAACTTGCGTCTGTGGTTTTTAGTGAACTTTAATTTGTGGCAATTGTTGAACTTGAGTTTGTGGCGTTTGTTGAACTTGAGTTTGTGTCGTGTTTGAACTTGAGTTTGTGGTGTTTGTTGAACTTGAGTCTGTGGTTTTTAGTGAACTTTACTTGATGGCAATTGTTGAACTTGAGTTTGTGGGGTTTGTTGAACTTGAGTTTGTGTCATGTTTGAACTTGAGTTTCTGGTGTTTTTGAACTTGAGTCTGTGTTGTTTTTGAATATGAGGTTGTGGAAATTGTTAAACTTGAGAATTGGGCGTTGGTTGAACTTGAGTTTGTGTTGTGTTTGAACTTGAGTTTGTGTCGTGTTTGAACTTGAGTTTGTGGTGTTTTTGAACTTGAATTTGTGGTGTTTTTGAACTTGAGGGTGTGGAATTTTTCAAACTTAATAATTGGGTATTGGTTACACTTGAGTTTCTGTGTTTGTTAAACTTGAGTTTGTGTCGTGTTTGAACTTGAGTTTGTTTTTTGGTTGAAATTGAGTTTGTTTGTTGGTTGAAATTGAGTTTGTGGTGTTTTTGAACTTGAGGGTGTGAAATTTGTTAAACTTAATAATTGTGTATTGGTTGAACTTGAGTTTCTGTGTTTGTTGAACTTGAGTTTGTGTCGTGTTTTAACTTGAGTTTGTTTGTTGGTTGAACTTGAGTTTGTGTCGTGTTTGAACTTGAGCTCGTTTTGTTTGTTGAACTTGAGTTTGTGTGTTGGTTGAACTTGAGTTTGTATGTTTGTTGAACTTGAGTTTGTGTTGTGTTTGAACTTGACTGTGGTGTTTTTGAACTTGAGTTTGTTTCGTGTTTGAACTTGAGTTTGTGGCGTTTGTTAAACTTGAGTTTGTTGAACTTGTGGTTGTTCCAAGTGTTAAACTTGAGATTTGGGTGTTGGTTGAACTTGAGTTTGTGTCGTGTTTGAACTTGAGTTTGTTGTGTTTTTGAACTTGAGTTTGTGTGTTTTTTGAACTTAAGTTTGTTGAACTTGAGTTTGTGGCAATTGTTGAAATTGCGTCTGTGGTTTTTAGTGAACTGTAATTTGTGGTAATCGTTGAACTTGAGTTTGTGGCGTTTGTTGAACTTGAGTTTGTGTTGTGTTTGAACTTGAGTTTGTGGTGTTTTTTGAACTTGAGTTTGTTTGTTTTTTGAACTTAGGTTTGTTGAACTTGAGTTTGTGGCAATTGTTGAACTTGCGTCTGTGGTTTTTTTGTGTTGTGTTTGAACTTGACTGTGGTGTTTTTGAACTTGAGTTTGTTTCGTGTTTGAACTTGAGTTTGTGGTGTTTTTAAACTTGACTTTGTGTGTTTGTTGAACTTGAGTTTGTGTTGCATTTGAACTTGAGTTTGTGTCGTGTTTGAAATTGAGTTTGTGTTTTTGTTAAACTTGAGTTTGTGTTGTGTTCGAACTTGAGTTTGTGGTGTTTTTGAACTTGAGATTTGGGTGTTAGTTGAACTTGAGTTTGTGTCGTGTTTGAACTTGAGTTTGTGGTGTTTTTTGAACTTGCGTCTGTGGTTTTTAGTGAACTTTAATTTGTGGCAATTGTTGAACTTGAGTTTGTGGCGTTTGTTGAACATGAGTTTGTGTCGTGTTTGAACTTGAGTTTGTGGTGGTTTTGAACTTGAGTTTGTGGTGTGTTTGAACTTGAGTTTGGTTGAACTTGAGTTTGTTTCGTGTTTGAACTTGAGTTTGTAGTGTTTTTGAACTTGAGTTTGTGGCAATTGTTGAACTTGAGTTTGTGTCATGTTTGAACTTGAGGTTGTGGTGTTTTTGAACTTGAGTTTGTGGTGTTTTTGAACGTGAGGGTTTGGAATTTGTTAAACTTAATAACTGGGTATTGGTTGAACTTGAGTTTTTGTGTTTGTTGAACTTCAGTTTGTGTCGTTTTTGAAATTGTGTTTGTGTGTTTGTTGAACTTGAGTTTGTTTCGTGTTTGAACTTGAGTTTTTGGCATTTGTTGAACTTGAGTTTGTGTGTTTGTTGAACTTGAGGTTGTGGCAATTGTTAAACTTGAGATTTGGGTGTTGGTTGAACTTGAGTTTGTGTCGTGTTTGAACTTGAGTTTGTTGTATTTTTGAACTTGAGTTTGTGTGTTTCATGAACTTAAGTTTGTTGAACTTGAGTTTGTGGCAATTGTTGAACTTGCGTCTGTGGTTTTTTGTGATTTTTAATTTGTGTCAATTGTTGAACTTGAGTTTGTGTTGTTTTTGAACTTGAGTTTGTGGTGTTTTTGAACTTAAGTTTGTTGAACTTGAGTTTGTGGCAATTGTTGAACTTGCGTCTGCGGTTTTTAGTGATCTTTAGTTTGTGGCAATTGTTGAACTTGAGTTTGTGGCGTTTGTTGAACTTGAGTTTTTGGCATTTGTTGAACTTGAGTTTGTGTGTTTGTTGAACTTGAGGTTGTGGCAATTGTTAAACTTGAGATTTGGGTGTTGGTTGAACTTGAGTTTGTGTCGTGTTTGAACTTGAGTTTGTTGTATTTTTGAACTTGAGTTTGTGTGTTTCTTGAACTTAAGTTTGTTGAACTTGAGTTTGTGGCAATTGTTGAACTTGCGTCTGTGGTTTTTTGTGATTTTTAATTTGTGTCAATTGTTGAACTTGAGTTTGTGTTGTTTTTAAACTTGAGTTTGTGGTGTTTTTGAACTTGAGATTTGGGTGTTGGTTGAACTTGAGATTTGGGTGTTGGTTGAAGTTGAGGTTGTTGTTTTTTTGATCTTGGGTTTGTGTGTTTTTTGAACTTAAAATTGTTGAACTTGAGTTTGTGGCAATTGTTGAACTTGCGTCTGGTTTTTAGTGAACTTTAATTTGTGGCAATTGTTGAACTTGAGTTTGTGGCGTTTGTTGAACTTAAGTTTGTGTCGTGTTTGAACTTGAGTTTGTGGTGTTTGTTGAACTTGAGTCTGTGGTTTTAAGTGAACTTTACTTGATGGCAATTGTTGAACTTAAGTTTGTGGGGTTTGTTGAACTTGAGTTTGTGTCATGTTTGAACTTGAGTTTCTGGTGTTTTTGAACTTTAGTCTGTGTTGTTTTTGAATTTGAGGTTGTGGAAATTGTTAAACTTGAGAATTGGGCGTTGGTTGAACTTGAGTTTGTGTTGTGTTTGAACTTGAGTTTGTGTCGTGTTTGAACTTGAGTTTGTGGTGTTTTTGAACTTGAATTTGTGGTGTTTTTGAACTTGAGGGTGTGGAATTTTTCAAACTTAATAATTGGGTATTGGTTACACTTGAGTTTCTGTGTTTGTTAAACTTGAGTTTGTGTCGTGTTTGAACTTGAGTTTGTTTTTTGGTTGAAATTGAGTTTGTTTGTTGGTTGAAATTGAGTTTGTGGTGTTTTTGAACTTGAGGGTGTGAAATTTGTTAAACTTAATAATTGTGTATTGGTTGAACTTGAGTTTCTGTGTTTGTTGAACTTGAGTTTGTGTCGTGTTTTAACTTGAGTTTGTTTGTTGGTTGAACTTGAGTTTGTGTCGTGTTTGAACTTGAGCTCGTTTTGTTTGTTGAACCTGAGTTTGTGTGTTGGTTGAACTTGAGTTTGTATGTTTGTTGAACTTGAGTTTGTGTTGTGTTTGAACTTGACTGTGGTGTTTTTGAACTTGAGTTTGTTTCGTGTTTGAACTTGAGTTTGTGGCGTTTGTTAAACTTGAGTTTGTTGAACTTGAGGTTGTTGCAATTGTTAAACTTGAGATTTGGGTGTTGGTTGAACTTGAGTTTGTGTCGTGTTTGAACTTGAGTTTGTTGTGTTCTTGAACTTGAGTTTGTGTGTTTTTTGAACTTAAGTTTGTTGAACTTGAGTTTGTGGCAATTGTTGAAATTGCGTCTGTGGTTTTTAGTGAACTGTAATTTGTGGCAATCGTTGAACTTGAGTTTGTGGCGTTTGTTGAACTTGAGTTTGTGTCGTGTTTGAACTTGAGTTTGTGGTGTTTTTGAACTTTTGGTTGTGGCAATTGTTGAACTTGAGGATTGTGTGTTTGTTGAACTTGATTTTGTCTCGTGTTTGAACTTGAGGTGCTGTTCTTTTTGAACTTGAGGTTGTGGAAATTGTTAAACTTGAGTTTTGGGTGTTGGTTGAACTTAAAACTTACATTTGTTGAACTTGAGTTTGTGGTGTTTTTGAAATTCAGTTTATATGTTTTTTGAACTTGAGTATGTGGCGTGTTTGAACTTGAGTTTCTGTTGTTTTTTGAACTTGAGGTTTTGGATATTGTTAAATTTGAGATTTGAGTGTTGGTTGAACTTGTGTTTATGTTGTGTTTGAATTTGAGTTTTTGGTGTTTTTGAACAAGAGTTTGTGTGTTTTTTGAACTTGAGGGTGTGGAATTTGTTAAACTTAATAATTGGGTATTGGTTGAACTTGAGTTTCTGTGTTTGTTGAACTTGAGTTTGTGTCGTGTTTGAACTTGTTTGTGTGTTGGTTGAACTTGAGTTTGTGGTGTTTTTGAACTTGAATTTGTGGTGTTTTTGAACTTGAGGGTGTGAAATTTGTTAAACTTAATAATTGGGTATTGGTTGAACTTGAGTTTCTGTGTTTGTTGAACTTGAGTTTGTGTCGTGTTTGAACTTGAGTTTGTGGTGGTTTTGAACTTGAGTTTGTGGTGTGTTTGAACTTGAGTTTTATGTGTTAGTTGAACTTGAGTTTGTGTCGTGTTTGAACTTGAGTTTGTTGTGTTTTTGAACTTGAGTTTGTGTCGTGTGTGAACTTGAGTTTGTAGTGTCTTTGAACTTGAGTTTGTGGCAATTGTTGAACTTGAGTTTGTGTCATGTTTGAACTTGAGGTTGTGGTTTTTTTGAACTTGAGTTTGTGGTGTTTTTGAACTTGAGGGTTTGGAATTTGTTAAACTTAATAATTGGGTATTGGTTGAACTTGAGTTTCTGTGTTTGTTGAACTTGAGTTTGTGTCGTGTTTGAAATTGAGTTTGTGTGTTTGTTGAACTTGAGTTTGTTTCGTGTTTGAACTTGAGTTTGTGGTGTTTTTGAACTTGAGTTTTTTTCGTGTTTGAACTTGAGTTTTTGGCGTTTGTTGAACTTGAGTTTGTGTGTTTGTTGAACTTGAGTTTGTGTCGTGTTTGAAATTGAGTTTGTGTGTTTGTTGAACTTGAGTTTGTGTTGTGTTTGAACTTGAGTTTGTGGTGTTTTTGAACTTGAGTTTGTTTCGTTTTTGAACTTGAGTTTGTGGTGTTTTTGAACTTCAGGTTGGGTGTTTGTTGAACTTGAGGTTGTGGCAATTGTTAAACTTGAGATTTGGGTGTTAGTTGAACTTGAGTTTGTGTCGTGTTTGAACTTGAGTTTGTGGTGTTTTTGAACTTGAGTTTGATTGTTTTTTGAACTTAAGTTTGTTGAACTTGAGTTTGTGGCAATTGTTGAACTTGCGTCTGTGGTTTTTAGTGAACTTTAATTTTTGGCAATTGTTGAACATGAGTTTGTGTTGTGTTTGAACTTGAGTTTGTGGTGGTTTTGAACTTGAGTTTGTGGTGTGTTTGAACTTGAGTTTTATGTGTTGGTTGAACTTGAGTTTGTTTCGTGTTTGAACTTGAGGTTGTGGTGTTTTTGAACTTGAGTTTGTGTTGTCTTTGAACGTGAGGGTTTGGAATTTGTTAAACTTAATAATTGGGTATTGGTGGAACTTGAGTTTCGGTGTTTGTTGAACTTGAGTTTGTGTCGTGTTTGAAATTGAGTTTGTGTGTTTGTTGAACTTGAGTTTGTGTGTTTGTTGAACTTGAGGTTGTGGCAATTATTAAACTTGAGATTTGGGTGTTGGTTGAACTTGAGTTTGTGTCGTGTTTGAACTTGAGTTTGTGGTGTTTGTTGAACTTGAGTCTGTGGTTTTAAGTGAACTTTACTTGATGGCAATTGTTGAACTTGAGTTTGTGGGGTTTGTTGAATTTGAGTTTGTGTCATGTTTGAACTTGAGTTTCTGGTGTGTTTGAACTTGAGTCTGTGTTGTTTTTGAATTTGAGGTTGTGGAAATTGTTAAACTTGAGAATTGGGCGTTGGTTGAACTTGAGTTTGTGTTGTGTTTGAACTTGAGTTTGTGTCGTGTTTGAACTTGAGTTTGTGGTGTTTTTGAACTTGAGTTTGTGGTGTCTTTGAACGTGAGGGTTTGGAATTTGTTAAATTTAATAATTGTGTATTGGTCGAACTTGAGTTTCTGTGTTTGTTGAACTTGAGTTTGTGTCGTGTTTGAAATTGAGTTTGTGTGTTTGTTGAACTTGAGTTTGTTTCGTGTTTGAACTTGAGTTTTTGGCATTTGTTGAACTTGAGTTTGTGTGTTTGTTGAACTTGAGGTTGTGGCAATTATTAAACTTGAGATTTGGGTGTTGGTTGAACTTGAGTTTGTGTCGTGTTTGAACTTGAGTTTGTTGTGTTTTTGAACTTGAGTTTGTGTGTTTCTTGAACTTAAGTTTGTTGAACTTGAGTTTGTGGCAATTGTTGAACTTGCGTCTGTGGTTTTTAGTGAACTTTAGTTTGTGGCAATTGTTGAACTTGAGTTTGTGGCGTTTGTTGAACTTGAGTTTGTGTCGTGTTTTAACTTGAGTTTGTGGTGCTTTTGAACTTGAATTTGTGGTGTTTTTGAACTTGAGGGTGTGAAATTTGTTAAACTTAATAATTGGGTATTGGTTGAACTTGAGTTTCTGTGTTTGTTGAACTTGAGTTTGTGTTGTCTTTGAACTTGAGTTTGTGTGTTGGTTGAACTTGAGTTTGTGTCGTGTTTGAACTTGAGCTTGTTTTGTTTGTTGAACTTGAGTTTGTGTGTTGGTTGAACTTGAGTTTGTGTGTTTGTTGAACTTGAGTTTGTGTTGTGTTTGAACTTGAGTTTGTGGTGTTTTTGAACTTGAGTTTGTTTCGTGTTTGAACTCGAGTTTTTGGCGTTTGTTGAACTTGAGTTTGTGTGTTTGTTGAACTTGAGGTTATGGCAATTGTTAAACTTGAGATTTTGGTGTTGGTTGAACTTGAGTTTGTGTCGTGTTTGAACTGAGTTTGTTTTGTTTTTGAACTTGAGTTTGTTTCGTGTTTGAACTCGAGTTTTTGGCGTTTGTTGAACTTGAGTTTGTGTGTTTGTTGAACTTGAGGTTATGGCAATTATTAAACTTGAGATTTGGGTGTTGGTTGAACTTGAGTTTGTGTGTTTGTTGAACTTGAGTTTGTGTTGTGTTTGAACTTGAGTTTGTGGTGTTTTTGAACTTGAGTTTGTTTCGTGTTTGAACTCGAGTTTTTGGCGTTTGTTGAACTTGAGTTTGTGTGTTTGTTGAACTTGAGGTTATGGCAATTATTAAACTTGAGATTTGGGTGTTGGTTGAACTTGAGTTTGTGTCGTGTTTGAACTTGAGTTTGTGGTGTTTGTTGAACTTGAGTCTGTGGTTTTAAGTGAACTTTACTTGATGGCAATTGTTGAACTTGAGTTTGTGGGGTTTGTTGAATTTGAGTTTGTGTCATGTTTGAACTTGAGTTTCTGGTGTGTTTGAACTTGAGTCTGTGTTGTTTTTGAATTTGAGGTTGTGGAAATTGTTAAACTTGAGAATTGGGCGTTGGTTGAACTTGAGTTTGTGTTGTGTTTGAACTTGAGTTTGTGTCGTGTTTGAACTTGAGTTTGTGGTGTTTTTGAACTTGAGTTTGTGGTGTTTTTGAACTTGTGTTTTTGAACTTGAGTTTTGTGTCGTGTTTTTGAACTTGAGTTTATGTGTTGGTTTGAGTTTGTGTCGTGTTTGAACTTGAGTTTGTGTTGTTTGTTGAACTTGAGTTTTTTTTGTTGAACTTGAGTTTGTGGCAATTGTTGAACTTGCGTCTGTGGTTTTTTGTGATTTTTAATTTGTGTCAATTGTTGAACTTGAGTTTGTGTTGTTTTTGAACTTGAGCTTGTTTCGTGTTTGAACTTGAGTTTGTGGATATTATTAAACTTGAGATTTGGGTGTTGGTTGAACTTGAGATTTGGGTGTTGGTTGAAGTTGAGGTTGTTGTGTTTTTGAACTTGAGTTTGTGTGTTTTTTGAACTTAAGTTTGTTGAACTTGAGTTTGTGGCAATTGTTGAACTTGAGTCTGTGTTTTTTAGTGAACTTTACTTGATGGCAATTGTTGAAATTGAGTTTGTGGGGTTTGTTGAACTTGAGTTTGTGTTGTTTTTGAAGTTGAGGTTGTGGAAATTGTTAAACTTGAGAATTGGGCGTTGGTTGAACTTGAGTTTGTGTTGTGTTTGAACTTGAGTTTGTTGTGTGTTTGAACTTGAGTTTGTTTGTTTGATGAACTTTAGGTTGTGGCAATTGTTAAACTTGAGATTTGGGTGTTGGTTAAATTTGAGTTTTTGTTGTGTTTGAACTTGAGTTCGTGTGTTTTTTGAAATTAGGGTTGTGAAAATTAGTGAACTTTAATTTGTGGCAATTGTGGAACTTGAGTTTGTGGCGTTTGTTGAACTTGAGTTTGTGTCGTGTTTGAACTTGAGTTTGTGGTGTTTTTGAACTTGAGTTTGTAGTGTGTTTGAACTTGAGTTTTATGTGTTGGTTGAACTTGAGTTTGTGTCGTGTTTGAACTTGAGTTTGTGTGTTTTTTGAACTTAAGTTTGTTGAACTTTAGTTTGTGGCAATTTTTGAACTTGAGTTTGTGTCATGTTTGAACTTGAGGGTGTGGAATTTTTTAAACTTAATAATTGGGTATTGGTTGAACTTGAGTTTCTGTGTTTGTTGAACTTGAGTTTGTGTCGTGTTTGAAATTGAGTTTGTGTTTTTTTGAACTTGGGTTTGTGTTGTGTTTGAACTTGAGTTTGTGGTGTTTTTGAACTTGAGTTTGTTTCGAGTTTGAACTTGAGTTTGTGGCGTTTGTTGAACTTGAGTTTGTGTGTTTGTTGAACTTGAGGTTGTGGCAATTGTTAAACTTGAGATTTGGGTGTTGGTTGAACTTGAGTTTGTGTCGTGTTTGAACTTGAGTTTGTTGTATTTTTGAACTTGAATTTGCGTGTTTGGTGAACTTGAGTTTGTGTGTTTGTTGAACCTGAGTTTGTGTTGTGTTTGAACTTGAGTTTGTGGTGTTTGTTGAACTTGAGTTTGTGGTGTTTTTGAACTTAAGTTTGTAGTGTGTTTGAACTTGAGTTTTATGTGTTGGTTGAACTTGAGTTTGTGTCGTGTTTGAACTTGAGTTTGTGTGTTTTTTGAACTTAAGTTTGTTGAACTTTAGTTTGTGGCAATTGTTGAACTTGAGTTTGTGTCATGTTTGAACTTGAGGGTGTGGAATTTTTTAAACTTAATAATTTGGTATTGGTTACACTTGAGTTTCTGTGTTTGTTGAACTTGAGTTTGTGTCGTGTTTGAAATTGAGTTTGTGTTTTTGTTGAACTTGAGTTTGTGTTGTGTTTGAACTTGAGTTTGTGGTGTTTTTGAACTTGAGTTTGTTTCGTGTTTGTACTTGAGTTTGTGGCGTTTGTTGAACTTGAGTTTGTGTCGTGTTTGAAATTGAGTTTGTGTTTTTGTTGAACCTGAGTTTGTGTTGTGTTTGAACTTGAGTTTGTGGTGTTTGTTGAACTTGAGTTTGTGTTGTGTTTGAACTTGAGTTTGTGGTGTTTGTTGAACTTGAGTTTGTGGTGTTTTTGAACTTGAGTTTGTGGTGTTTTTGAACTTGAGTTTGTGTCGTGTTTGAACTTGAGTTTGTGTCGTGTTTGAAATTGAGTTTGTGTGTTTGTTGAACTTGAGTTTGTGTTGTGTTTGAACTTGAGTTTGTGGTGTTTTTGACCTTGAGTATTTTTCGTGTTTGAACTTGAGGTTGTGACAATTGTTAAACTTAAGATTTGGGTGGTGGTTGAACTTGAGTTTGTTGTGTTTTTGAACTTGAGTTTGTGTGTTTTTTGAACTTAATTTTTTTGAACTTGAGTTTGTGGCAATTGTTGAACTTGCGTCTGTGGTTTTTAGTGAACTTTAATTTGTGGCAATTGTTGAACTTGAGTTTGTGGCGTTTGTTGAACTTGAGTTTGTGTCGTGTTTGAACTTGAGTTTGTGGTGTTTTTGAACTTGAGTTTGTAGTGTGTTTGAACTTGAGTTTTATGTGTTGGTTGAACTTGAGTTTGTGTCGTGTTTGAACTTGAGTTTGTGTGTTTTTTGAACTTAAGTTTGTTGAACTTTAGTCTGTGGCAATTGTTGAACTTGAGTTTGTGTCATGTTTGAACTTGAGGGTGTGGAATTTTTTAAACTTAATAATTTGGTATTGGTTACACTTGAGTTTCTGTGTTTGTTGAACTTGAGTTTGTGTCGTGTTTGAAATTGAGTTTGTGTTTTTGTTGAACTTGAGTTTGTGTTGTGTTTGAACTTGAGTTTGTGGTGTTTTTGAACTTGAGTTTGTTTCGTGTTTGTACTTGAGTTTGTGGCGTTTGTTGAACTTGAGTTTGTGTTGTGTTTGAACTTGAGTTTGTGGTGTTTTTGAACTTGAGTTTGTTTCGTGTTTGAACTTGAGTTTTTGGCGTTTGATGAACTTGAGTTTGTGTGTTTGTTGAACTTGAGGTTATGGCAATTGTTAAACTTGAGTTTGTGTGTTTTTTGAACTTAAGTTTGTTGAACTTTAGTCTGTGGCAATTGTTGAACTTGAGTTTGTGTCGTGTTTGAACTGAGTTTGTTGTGTTTTTGAACTTGAGTTTGTGTGTTTCTTGAACTAAAGTTGGTTGAACTTGAGATTGTGGCAATTGTTGAACTTGCGTCTGTTGTTTTTAGTGAACTTTAGTTTGTGGCAATCGTTGAAATTGAGTTTGTGTGTTTGTTGAACTTGAGTTTGTGTGTTTGTTTGAACTTGAGTTTGTGGTGTTTTTGAACTTGAGTTTTATGTGTTTTTGAACTTGAGTTTATGTGTTGGTTGAACATGAGTTTGTGTCGTGTTTGAACTTGAGATTGTGTTTGTTGAACTTGAGTTTGTGTGTTTTTTGAACTTAAGTTTGTTGAACTTGAGTTTGTGGCAATTGTTGAACTTGCGTCTGTGGTTTTTTGTGATGTTTAATTTGTGTCAATTGTTGAACTTGAGTTTGTGTTGTTTTTGAACTTGAGTTTGTGGTGTTTTTGAACTTGAGTTTGTTTCGTGTTTGAACTTGAGTTTGTGGATATTATTAAACTTGAGATTTGGGTGTTGGTTGAACTTGAGATTTGGGTGTTGGTTGAAGTTAAGGTTGTTGTGTTTTTGAACTTGAGTTTGTGTGTTTTTTGAACTTAAGTTTGTTTAACTTGAGTTTGTGGCAATTGTTGAACTTGCGTCTGTGGTTTTTAGTGAATTTTAATTTGTGGCAATTGTTGAACTTGAGTTTGTGGCATTTGTTGAACTTGAGTTTGTGTCGTGTTTGAACTTGAGTTTGTGGCGTTTGTTGAACTTGAGTCTGTGTTTTTTAGTTAACTTTACTTGATGGCAATTGTTGAACTTGAGTTTGTGGGGTTTGTTGAACTTGAGATTGTGTTGCTTTTGAATGTGAGGTTGTGGAAATTGTTAAACTTGAGAATTGGGCGTTGGTTGAACTTGGGTTTGTGTTGTTTTTGAACTTGAGTTTGTTGTGTGTTTGAACTTGAGTTTGTTTGTTTCATGAACTTTAGGTTGTGGCAATTGTTAAACTTGAGATTTGGGTGTTGGTTAAACTTGAGTTTTTGTTGTGTTTGAACTTGAGTTCGTGTTGTTTGTTGAACTTGAGTTTGTGTGTTTTTTGAAATTGAGGTTGTGAAAATTAGTGAACTTAAATTTGTGGAAATTGTTGAACTTGAGTTTGTGGCGTTTGTTGAACTTGAGTTTGTGTGTTTTTTGAAATTGAGGTTGTGAAAATTAGTGAACTTAAATTTGTGGAAATTGTTGAACTTGAGTTTGTGGTTTTTTTGAACTTGAGTTTGTAGTGTGTTTGAACTTGAGTTTTATGTGTTGGTTGAATTTGAGTTTGTGTCCTGTTTGAACTTGAGTCTGTGTGTTTTTTGAACTTAGGTTTGTTGAACTTTAGTTTGTGGCAATTGCTGAACTTGAGTTTGTGTCATGTTTTAACTTGAGGGTGTGGAATTTTTTAAACTTAATAATTGGGTATTGGTTCAACTTGAGTTTCTGTGTTTGTTGAACTTGAGTTTGTGTCGTGTTTGAAATTGAGTTTGTGTTTTTGTTGAACTTGAGTTTGTGTGTTGTGTTTGAACTTGAGTTTGTGGTGTTTTTGAACTTGAGTTTGTTTCGTGTTTGAACTTGAGTTTGTGGCGTTTGTTGAACTTGAGTTTGTGTGTTTGTTGAACTTGAGGTTGTGGCAATTGTTAAACTTGAGATTTGGGTGTTGGTTGAACTTGAGTTTGTGTCATGTTTGAACTTGAGTTTGTTGTGTTTTTGAACTTGAATTTGCGTGTTTGGTGAACTTGAGTTTGTGGTGTTTTTAAACTTGAGTTTGTGTTGTTTTGGAACTTTAGGTTGTGGAAATTGTTAAACTTGAGAATTGTGTATAGGTTGAACTTGAGTTTTTTGTGTTTTTGAACTTGAGTTTGTGTCTTGTTTGAAATTGAGTTTGTGTCGTGTTTGAAATTGAGTTTGTGTGTTGAACTTGAGTTTGTGTTGTGTTTGAACTTGAGTTTGTGGTGTTTTTGAACTTGAGTTTTTTTCGTGATTGAACTTGAGGTTGTGGCAATTGCTAAACTTGAGATTTTGGTGGTGGTTGAACTTGAGTTTGTTGTGTTTTTGAACTTGAGTTTGTGTGTTTTTTGAACTTAAGTTTGTTGAACTTGAGTTTGTGGCAATTGTTGAACTTGTGTCTGTGGTTTTTAGTGAACTTTAATTTGTGGCAATTGTTGAACTTGAGTTTGTGGCGTTTGTTGAACTTGAGTTTGTGTCGTGTTTGAACTTGAGTTTGTGGTTTTTTTTAACTTGAGTTTCTAGTGTGTTTGAACTTGAGTTTTATGTGTTGGTTGAATTTGAGTTTGTGTCGTGTTTGAACTTGAGTTTGTGTGTTTTTTGAACTTAAGTTTGTTGAACTTTAGTTTGTGGCAATTGCTGAACTTGAGTTTGTGTCATGTTTTAACTTGAGGGTGTGGAATTTTTTAAACTTAATAATTGGGTATTGGTTGAACTTGAGTTTCTGTGTTTGTTGAACTTGAGTTTGTGTCGTGTTCGAAATTGAGTTTGTGTTTTTGTTGAACTTGAGTTTGTGTTGTGTTTGAACTTGAGTTTGTGGTGTTTTTGAACTTGAGTTTGTTTCGTGTTTGAACTTGAGTTTGTGGCGTTTGTTGAACTTGAGTTTGTGTGTTTGTTGAACTTGAGGTTGTGGCAATTGTTAAACTTAAGATTTGGGTGTTGGTTGAACTTGAGTTTGTGTCGTGTTTGAACTTGAGTTTGCTGTGTTTTTGAACTTGAATTTGCGTGTTTGGTGAACTTGAGTTTGTGTGTTTGTTGAACCTGGGTTTGTGTTGTGTTTGAACTTGAGTTTGTGGTGTTTATGAACTTGAGTTTGTGGTGTTTTTGAACTTGAGTTTGTGGTGTTTTTGAACTTGAGTTTCTGTTGTTTTTGAACTTTAGGTTGTGGAAATTGTTAAACTTGAGAATTTTGTATTGGTTGAACTTGAGTTTTTTGTGTTTTTGAACTTGAGTTTGTGTCGTGTTTGAACTTGAGTTTGTGTCGTGTTTGAAATTGAGTTTGTGTGTTTGTTGAACTTGAGTTTGTGTGTTTGTTGAACTTGAGGTTGTGGCAATTATTAAACTTGAGATTTGGGTGTTGGTTGAACTTGAGTTTGTGTCGTGTTTGAACTTGAGTTTGTTGTGTTTTTGAACTTGAGTTTGTGTGTTGGTTGAACTTGAGTTTGTGTCATGTTTGAACTTGAGTTTGTTGTGTTTTTGAACTTGAGTTTGTGTGTTTTTTGAACTTAAGTTTGTTGAACTTGAGTTTGTGGCAATTGTTGAACTTGCGTCTGTGTCGTGTTTGAACTTGAGTTTGTGGTGTTTTTGAACTTGAGTTTGTGTGTTGGTTGAACTTGAGTTTGTGTTGTTTTTGAACTTTAGGTTGTGGAAATTGTTAAACTTGAGAATTTTGTATTGGTTGAACTTGAGTTTTTTGTGTTTTTGAACTTGAGTTTGTGGTGTGTTTGAAATTGAGTTTGTGTTTTTGTTGAACTTGAGTTTGTGTTGTGTTTGAACTTGAGTTTGTGGTGTTTTTGAACTTGAGTTTGTTTCGTGTTTGAACTTGAGTTTGTGGCGTTTGTTGAACTTGAGTTTGTGTGTTTGTTGAACTTGAGGTTGTGGCAATTATTAAACTTGAGATTTGGGTGTTGGTTGAACTTGAGTTTGTGTCGTGTTTGAACTTGAGTTTGTTGTGTTTTTGAACTTGAGTTTGTGTGTTGGTTGAACTTGAGTTTGTGTCATGTTTGAACTTGAGTTTGTTGTGTTTTTGAACTTGAGTTTGTGTGTTTTTTGAACTTAAGTTTGTTGAACTTGAGTTTGTGGCAATTGTTGAACTTGCGTCTGTGTCGTGTTTGAACTTGAGTTTGTGGTGTTTTTGAACTTGAGTTTGTGTGTTGGTTGAACTTGAGTTTGTGTCATGTTTGAACTTGAGTTTGTTGTGTTTTTGAACTTGAGTTTGTGTGTTTTTTGAACTTAAGTTTGTTGAACTTGAGTTTGTGGCAATTGTTGAACTAGCGTCTTTGGTTTTTAGTGATTTTTAGTTTATGGCAATTGTTGAACTTGAGATTGTGGCGTTTGTTGAACCTGAGTTTGTGTCGTGTTTGAACTTGAGTTTGTGGTGTGTTTGAACTTGAGTTTGTGTGTTGGTTGAACTTGAGTTTGTATCGTGTTTGAACTTGAGTTTGTTGTGTTTTTGAACTTGAGTTTGTGTGTTTTTTGAACTTAAGTTTGTTGAACTTGAGTTTGTGGCAATTGTTGAACTTGCGTCTTTGGTTTTTAGTGAACTTTAATTTGGGGCAATTGTTGAACTTGAGTTTGTGGCGTTTGTTGAACTTGAGTTTGTGTCGTGTTTGAACTTGAGTTTGTGGTGTTTTTGAACTTGAGTTTGTGATGTTTCTGAACTTGAGTTTGTGTGTTGGTGAACTTGAGTTTGTGTCGTGTTTGAACTTGAGATCGTGTTGTTTGTTGAACTTGAGTTTGTGTGTTTTTTGAACTTAAGTTTGTTGAACTTGAGTTTGTGGCAATTGTTGAACTTGCTTCTGTGGTTTTTAGTGATTTTTAATTTGTGGCAATTGTTGAACTTGAGTTTGTGTTGTTTTTGAACTTGAGTT